TCACATGAGCTTTTCCATCAGTAGCAAAGCCAGGCTGCAAACTAGATCTCTTGCCCCAAGCCCAATGTCCTTTACCTTAAACTGCATGAGACAAGACCAGAGACACTCTTTCTCATAAGGACAAGGTCAGAACCTCAAGGGGGTAGACTATTTGAGATTGATCCCAGATGAACTCTCAGTTCAGTCATGACAGGGACAGTCTAGGGACTAAGAACATCATGAAGCAGTTTCAGAATAATTTTGATGGAATGCAATTTTTGGCATAGAAAAGACTAGTAAGGTAGCCGAGCCTTCTAATGAAAGGCTGTGTTCTCAAGGTAAAGTATAACGTACAAACCTTATACTTACAGTGCAAGCATAAGTAAAGGCCTGGGGTGTAACTATAAGGTAGGAGATTTATCCTTGGAATGTTCGGGCTCATTCAGTGGACATCAGGAGGAGGCTCCAGGGAGGCTCTGGTCAGAAGAGGAGCAATGAGCATTTAATTTCACTCAAGTACATCTCCTCATGCTGGAGGCAATCCAGAGCAGAGATTATAGGACATTCCCAGCAAGGAGTAACAGGGGTCCTGTCATGATCCCTGCATATGGTTCAAGCGGCTGTCAGTGCCACACAGACCTGGGGGGGAAAAAGTAACCATGAATCTGAAAACAGTTCAGGCTTGCTGCTATCTTATTATTTCAGGGAATAATTGTTTAGGGAGTTGTAGTTTCTCACTTATTTCTGTTTCTTTCATGCTCTTATTGATGAATTATCTTAGCTAAAAGTGATTGCCTATGACAAATTTTCAACTGTTGAAAATGACCACAAAAGAGAGGTTTATATTTTGTGGCAAGATAGAGTAATGAAGGGGGTTTGTATTTACTCTACTGCCTGAAGCAATTGTAAAACTTAAAAATAGTAAGTAAAACCACTAGTTATTATGGAAATGCAAACAAAATCCATCATGAGAATAGTTGTTAATAGGGGGAGAAGGGTGTATAAAAAACGACTATCTCAAACCTTGGCAGGGATGTCCCGGGATGGAACACTTAAACAACTCCAGTGGGAATTAATCCCTGATACAATTTCTTTTTGAAGTAATTTCCTAAAGTTAAATATCAGAAAATGACCCAATTTGTCTACTCTCTAGTAATTGCCCAAGGAAAATGAAACTATATGCCCACTTACACATACACACAATTATATAGAGAGTCTCATAGCATCTTCAAGTATAATGCCAAATACAGATAACTGAGAAATAGGTGAATAGATTCAGGTGCTTGTGGTGTGTCTATATAATGAACCACTCAGCAGTGCAGTGGCAGAAACCATTGCTACATATAGCCATATGGATAATCTCAGCATCAGTTGTCAGGCTTGGTAGAAAGTATCTTTACATAGCCCTGAGCCATCTTGCTGGCCCCACTCTCTTATTTTATGATAGCAACTACTACTGAGTAGTGAGTCTGATCATTGTAGTTTGAAGTCTCTTAAATTTCCTTTAAGTTAGTGGTTCAGAAAGGAACACTTCAATCACTCAGTTGCTTTTCCTCAAGGCAACCATTGCTCTGCAAGACCAGTACTTCATGCATACTTCCCATTTGAAGACATAGGTTACCAAATATTTCCTACTAGCCAGAACTACAGGTGTATACCACTTCACACCTGGCTATTATGTTCATCTTCCCATTAACTGGCTATTATGTTCAACTTTCCATAGATTGGCAAAATATAGTTTATTGGGAAAATCTGGCCTGTTCTGTGTTTGTGAACCTTTGTGGGAACACAGCCATCTGTGTGTCATCTGAAGCTGCTTTCATTCTACAATGACAGAAGTGAATGTTTGTAACACTCAACTCAATTCAGTGGTCCTCTTTGGCCCCGTGTAGGAAGCAGAGGCAGGAGAATTCCTTGAGTCAAAAAGTAAGAGGACAGCCTGTGCAACATAGCAGTGACTCCCCCCAAGGTACTACTGATTACTTTCATGTCACTGAAAGAATACATAGCAGAAACAACCTAAGGCCAGATGTATTTTTGCTCATGGTTTCAATCTCTATTATGTGTTTTCTGTATTATCAACTTCATCTCTTTCTTGATCTTTCTACTTGACCTCTGTCTGCTATTTCTTGTTTGTTTTTTTTTTCTTTTAGTAATAAATAGTTTTTTCCTTGGCCCTTCCCTTTACATTTTTCCTCCAGTGAGTCTGACAGCTTCTTGACAAACACAGCAGCTAGTCTGTCAGCTCTATAGTCTACTTGGTGGTTCATCTAAATAGGACTTTGTGTAGCATTCGACTATGATGACCCCTAACTACTCCTGGAACTTTTGAAGATATTAAATAATAGTCTAAGATTTCTTAGATTTGATTCTTATTTACCCATTTAATTTTCCTTTTTTTCATGTTCTGTGAGTTACATCTCCTATTTGTAGTTAAACTCTCATCACCAGTGACTCCCAATGTCTATCTAGGCCAAATGTCCTGTCTAAGCTTAAGTTAGAGTCTGTTCCCAGTCCCCCATCGAACATTTCAACATAGATGTCCAACGGTTCTTTCAAGGTTATTGCTAAAATAGCATATAAATATATATATATATATATATATATATATATATATATATATCCCTTCAGAACAGCTTTCCTCCATTTTCAATAAATAACAGTTTATTGGTCCCCAGGGTGCGATCTGAAATTGCCTGGGAAGTCTGTGCTCGTTCCCTCTGGTGTCTATTCCTCTAGCTCGCAAGTCTGTTTTACCTTCTGTTTCTTCCTGCTCCTCATCTCCCCACCAACCTTTCCTGCATTCTCATTAGTCCACCTCATCCTAGTGGGATTTGTAGCTTCCACCGTTTTTCCTCTCAGCCTATCTTTCCATGCCAGGGTGATTCCCCCTTATCCTGTGCCTGTGTGGACCTTGGAGATTGTACTTAGTACAGAATACTGTGTTGTTTGGTAAACACCAAATTGTCTTGGTATTTGCCTGCTAGAAGCCCCCATCCCTTCCTTGTCTCTAAGATGAAATCCAACTCTTCAGTGAAGTTAGATGTGGTTCCTTCTTGGCCTTATCTAAGCAAGGTCCACATCTGTCCTATCTGCTTAACCCCCACAGCACCACAGCCCATCGGAGATGTATAATCCTGAAGGATCCATGCTGCATGTATATTCACAAGGCTCTTCCCAGGGCAGGCGAGGCGATCTGGCTTACCAGTCAAGAGTACATACTACTTTTCCAGAAGACCTAAGTTCAGATCCCAGCATGCATGTCAGGGGGATCACAACCACCCATAACTCAGGCTCCAAGATGATCTGGCACCTTTAGCCTCTGAGGACACCCACACACACATGCATATACCCAGACACAGACACACATGAACACATAATTTAAAATAGTAAAAACATAATAATTTTTAAAGTCCTTCTCAGATTGAAGTGATGGCTCAGTGGTTAAGAGCACATACTACTCTTGCAGAAGATACTAATTGGATTCCTGTCACTTACATTGGTTAGCTCACAACCACCTACTCTAGTTCTCAGGCATCCGACATCTCTGGCCTCCACAGGAACCCACACTCATATGTACTGCACAGGTGTAGACACATAGACAGACAGACAGACAGACAGACAGACAGACAGACAGACAGACAGATGCATGCATACACACACACATACACACACACACACACCCCGCAGTTCTGGGGAAACTCACTGATACAAATGCAGAGAGAGACAAACCCACCCTGATCTTCACTCAGAATCTATACTCTCCCAACAGTAAGCTGAACATTTCTCTATTTCACAAGTAAGATTTTTAAAACAAATCACCCAAAAAAGTCTCATTACCTAAACTTAGAGGTATTAGCAATCGTGGTGCGTTATGAATAGACCAAAGTGTAATTACTTCTTAGTTCACATCCTTTTGACATCCCAGCCATCATTCCTATCCTGGCAACATGTTTCCCCCAATTTTCTCTTATTATTATTCTCATCCTTCAAGAAAGCTTTTCTGGTCCTTTCCAGATGTAGTTCCTAAGACTTCCCTCTCTATTAAAACTGGAGGCCTGCTGTTCTGCGGGGTTGTTCAGATTGGATGTGAATAGTGAAATGTGTTACATAGCTCTTCTATCTTACTGTCTAAGGCCAGATGAGAACCAAACACTATATGGTGTTCTCAGAGAGCTTCATGAAGGTAGCGGATGAATATAGTGGGATCCTTCACTCATTCACTATTTTGCTTCTGTCAGTCATACAACAGTACATTTGTTAGCACGCTTTAAAATTCAGATCCAAGTAAAGTATACTTTTAGATACTATGTTGCAAAAATACTTACCTGTTTTTTCCCCCAGTCTGTTAGATTAGCATCCTCATGTTTGAGACCTAGCACTTGGAGTGACAGGAGGTTTAACTCACCTGGGGTTTGTCATTTAAAAAAAAAAAAAGGCATCTGTAGCAGTAATCGGAAAAAAATCAGTCAGGAAAACTTTCCTAGTTTGATTTGCATTGCTATTATATGACACCATGACTTAAGAACCTTAGGGAGAGAAGGGTTTATTTCAGCTTGCAGGTTACAGTCCATCCTGAAAGGAAGTCAGAGCAGGAACCTAGAGTCAGATGCTGAAGCAGAGGCTATCGAGGAATGGGGCTCACTGGCTAGGTGCTCCCATATCAATCATTAATCAGGAAGTGCTCCCAAAGACTTTCCTCCAGGCCAGTCCTACAGAGACATTTTCTCAGTTGAGTTTTTCTCTACCCAAATGACCCAAGTTTGTGTTAAGTTGACCAAAAACTAATCAGCACAATACAAAAGAGAATTCAATTGAAAAAAAAGCTCAAGAATAAGTGAATATATTGGTTAAAAATATACATTTAATGTTGTTCATATGTAAGAATGCCACAGTATAGTTTTTTTCAGTTAACTCTTATCTAAGTAGTTTTGAAGTCATGGTAGTAATGAGCTTTAAATGTTTAAAATTTGAGGTGAATTTTATATATAATAGTTACTGCATATCTTCTGCTTTCATAGATTTGATCCAGGCTACCAATGAGACCAATGTCAATATTCCTCAGATGGCCGACACCCTCTTTGAGCGGGCAACAAACAGTAGCTGGGTGGTGGTATTTAAAGCTTTAGTGACCACCCACCATCTCATGGTGCATGGAAATGAGGTAACCAAATGTACAACTGCTTCTTGGTAGAGGTGGGGGTAGCAAAATATGATGTTAATTTAAGACCCTTGGGTTTTCACTAATGAGGAGGAGGAGGAGAAATATGTGTTTCATGCTTATTTTGAGAATAATTTCAACCTTGGATTTAGCAATCTTTAAAAATATATTTTGAGTTTGACCTTGTCTCGGTGATACAGAAGCATTTAAGTGTTTATTCTATCTGAATGTATCAGGAGCACATGAAAATGCTAAAACAAAGGATCAGGAGGGCTACTTTCCTAGAGGAAGTATTCCTTTGCGTCTTCCAATGCAGATTGCATTAATGGAATGACTACTTTTGAAAAATAGTGATAAAATTAAGTTACTTCTTCTCTTACATGCAATTCCTAGAGAAGCTTATTGAATTTTCATTGTTTCTGGCATATACAGAAGAAAAAGGTCGCAAAATTTAATTGTGATTCAATGACTGTTTCTCTGGAGTTTTAAAAACAATTTCTCCCTTAGAGAAAGTTAACAGCATAGGATGCTTTGTAACTAAGAGAACACAATAAAAAATTGTAGACATAAATAAATATCACTTAAACATCAAAAAATATTTAAAGGTATCATATGAAAATATGGGTGTTTAATTCTAATTTTTGTTTTTCAGAGATTTATTCAGTATTTGGCCTCTAGAAATACACTATTCAACCTCAGCAACTTTCTGGATAAAAGTGGATCCCACGGTGAGAAAATAAAATCTGGGGGTGATTCCACATAGAGGGATACTCTCTCAGCCTAGACACACGGGGGAGGGCCTAGGCCCTGCTCCAAAGGATAGGACAGACTCTCAAGATCCCCCATAGAAGGCCTCACTCTCCCTGGGGAGCAGAAAGAGTATGGGATAGGGAATTGGTGGGGGGCAGGGGAGGAGGGGAGGGAGAGGGAACTGGGATTAACAGGTAAAACAATATCATTTCTAATTTAAATTTTTTAAAATGGTGAAAAATAAATAAATAAAAATAAAATAAAATCTGGGGGTGGCCATTAATCCAAAGTCATTGTTATGAATAGTTCCATTGGTTACTTAAAAACATACTATGAAAGTAACTATCAAATTCCTTCATTGTTGACAATTGGGCATATATCATATATATTTATTTTATTTAGTCACTTAAGAGTATTCACTTTAAAAAGTGGACCGTGGGTGAATCTGTCTCACAGTTTGCTTGTAAAGGTTCAGGGCATAAAAGAACTAAAGATGTCAGCCAAATGAAAAAGAAAAAAATTCCCCTGTTAAATGTTTTTGTAGGTTAATACAGCTGGAGCTGTTACCTCTGGTTCATTCATCCAGTTTGTTTGCTATACATACATGTAAGGCTAGATAGACCCATACCAGATGGCTGTGTATGTTACAAATGAAACAGGCTATTATTTGTAACAGTGAACACAAGTGCTGCTAACTTTCTCTAGGGGAGGAACTGTTTTTAAAACTCCAGAGAAATAGTCATTGAATCACAATTAAATTTTGTGACCTTTTATTTCTGTATATGCCAGAAACAATGAAAATTCAATAGGCTTCACTAGGAGTTGCATATAAGAGAAGTAATTTCATTTTATCACTATTTTTCAAAAAAAAAAATCAGAAAAGACTTTCTGTACAAGACAGTATAATCACCGTATTGAATGGGAGTGCCCCATATGGTAGACTCTTGGCCTGCAAGCAGGATGGTAAATGAGGCTTATTGTCACATGTTGAGCCCCGTCTCAGAGGCAGTCATGGCAATCCTTGTCTATTTTGAGGAGCTAAAAAATAGTTACTAGTATGCAGAGTACAATTGAAGACATTATTCCATGGCTCTGTCTCCTCTCTCCCCAGGTTATGATATGTCTACGTTCATAAGGCGTTACAGTAGATACCTGAATGAAAAGGCGTTCTCCTACAGACAGATGGCATTTGACTTTGCCAGAGTGAAAAAAGGGTACGGCTCTCTCATTCTCTCCCTCTCTCTCTCTCTCTCTCTCTCTCTCTCTCTCTCTCTCTCTCTCTCTCTCTCTTCTTATTTATTTAAGCACAGCAAATCCTCAAGGCATATGTGATTTATTTAACTAAGCTTATATGCCAACTAACATTGATCCTGGAAGGCCCAGTTCACAGTCACCTGAAGAAACAGCTTAGTAAGTTAGTGTGATAGAAGTTACCCTGGAGCTATGTGGTATTGTGTGTTCATGCATAAAAATCAGATTTGCTGCTCAGAAATTATGTGGTACAAATATTTGTTAAAACAGACGTTTTCTTTTTTAAATGTCTTTGATAATTCCTTTTTATATTTAAGTTTTTCTGTGCATTGGTGTTTTGCTTGCATGTATGTCTGTGTAAGGGCGTCAGATCTCCTGAAACCTGAGTTACAGATGGTTGTGAGCTGCCATGTAGGTGCTAAGAATTATACCAGGGTTCTCTGGAAGAGCTGTCTTAACCTCTGAGCCATCTCTCCAGCCCCTCAACATTCTTAATGTAAATATCTTTCAATAACTTAAGGGGAGAATTGACAAGATTCATTTCAATGTGTAGTGGTGTTAGATGAAAAATCATTATTTCTATGAATTAATTTTTTGTTTTTTGTTTTGGATTTTTTGAGATAGGGTTTCTCTGTGTAGCCCTGGCTGTCCTGGAACCTGCTCTGTTGACTAAGCTGGCCTTGAACTCAGAGATTTGCCTGCCTCTGCCTCCTGAGTTAAAGGCACATGCCACTATTGCCTGGCTATTGACATGAATTTTAATTGAGGTAAAAATAAGCTTGTGTATGTGGTGATTTAGATTTGAAAGGTAATACTTTGCTAGGAAATATACATAACATAATTTAGTTATTGGTATTACTTACTAAGAAAGCCTCAACAAAGCAGAAAAATTGAATTAATATCCAGTTGCCATTTATTTGCCTCCAAATAGATGGTTTAATCTGGGCTGTTGTGTTCAGCCAGAAGTTCATGCAGGCCTTTTGTCTGTCCCTAACTAAAAATATTGGTAAAGTGTTGCAGAGGTTTACTGATTTATTTTTAAGGCTCTATAGAGGGGCTAGAGAGATGGCTCGCCATTTAAGTCAGTGGTTCTCAACCTTCCTAATGCTGCAACCCTTTACTATAGTTCCTCATGTTGTGGTGACCCCAGCCATACAGTTGCTACTTCATAACTGTAATTTTGCTACTGTTATGAATCGTAAATATCTGATTGCGGGATTATGATATGGGACCCCTGTAAAAGAGTTATTTGACCTCCCAAAGGGTTATGACCCACAGGATGAGAACCACTGATTTAAGAGCTTAAGCAAATAGTCACAACCTCTTAATGCCTGACAGTGATCTTAGGAGATTCACAAGGAAAACAAGCTGCACAGCTCAGAACAAAGCCACGGCCTGGTATTTGCAGTGTCTACAAAGATGTGTGCTTCTGTTCTTTTTGTGTTACAGGGCTGACGGTGTAATGAGGACAATGGTTCCTGAGAAGCTCCTGAAGAGCATGCCAATCCTGCAGGGGCAGATTGATGCACTGCTGGAGTTTGATGTACGTGTCTCACATGAAATGTTTCCTGCATAATTGGTCTTTGTCTTTCCTTTGAAGAGGCTACAGGTCAGTTAGAGGTTGCCTGGGGTTTGCAACAGAGCGCCTTCATGTGGATGAATTACAGTAATATTTCATTCATACTCGTAGGCCCCCAGATTTTTCCAGAGTTCATAAGTTGTTTCCTGGGGTCATAGAAAAGGGCGAGCAGGGCATTCTTAGAGCCTTCTGTTCAGAGGAGAACATAGTTTGTAGTGTTTATAATAAGGTGAAGTATGCACCAGATGTACCTCAGGCAGTTAAATAGCCACTTTCCTATCAGAAGCCTTCCGACATGGACTATCTAAGACTGTCCACCCAGGAGAGGGATTTTATGTTATCATAGATAACAGGTCTTTTCAGACAAGGTCAATAGGTACTATTGTTTTTTAAAAACATACCTGTTGGGGCTGCAGGAATGACTCAGTGATTAAGAAGCTACTCTTGTAGAGAACCGAGTTTGATTTACTACACCCACATGACAGCTCACAACCGTCTATAACTCCAGTTCCAGGGGATCAGATGCCCTCTTCTGACTTTCATGAGCACCAAGCACACAAGTGTTACATACACATGCACACATACAAAATAGTCATATATATATATACATATAATATATATAATAAAAATAAAAAATAATTTTTAGAAACATAACCTGAATGGCTATGGTGATAGATATATTAAGGTATATGTGTGCTAAAATTGTATAGAACTGAATACAACCAACATGTATGCAAGTGAATCTAGGGAACTCTGAATGCAGTCAGTAGATTGTGTCATTCAGTATCCTGGCTGTAACATGATTGACAATATAGTTCCTTGAGCTCTATACTATGTTTGGGAGAAAGTAGGTCAATACCATATGGGATCCCCCTCTTTTACTTCTTACAACTGTGTGTACATGTATAATTAACTCAAAAATAACAGTTAAGAGGACCTGACTCATGAAAATAAGATATTTTGACATGTAGGAATGTTCTGAGCTCTCATTGTCAGCTCTTCTGTAATTTGATAGGTGTCTAAAATGCTTTCCTCAAATTCTCCTAGCTTAAAGTCTTTGTTAAGATCCCATGACTAAGACTATAGTTGAGCCCTACTCCTAACAGCTAAGTCTTGTGAAATTTTAAGTAGAAATTGCAAACCATCACATTGGTTTTTGACAGATTTTACAGTAAGTTCTTTATAGGACAGCTACTCTTAATGTTTTTCCCATTCTTTTAATTTATCTACTTTTAGCTTTCCTCTTCCTTACTAAGGGTTCTAGCTTAATTGAAGCATATGTGACCAGTCCTTTGGTATTGCTAGGCTTACTAAAAGTTACCCAGCATTTTTAGAATATGAGTGAATTTCTTAGTGGTCATTCGTGGACATTTTATTATGATTTGAGAAAAATACTAACTTGCTGATGTGCAGCTAAAGTTAAATGCTCATTTTTCTAGGTGCATCCAAATGAACTAACAAATGGTGTCATAAATGCTGCATTTATGCTTCTTTTCAAAGATCTTATCAAACTTTTCGCTTGCTACAATGATGGAGTCATTAACTTACTTGGTAAGTGACACTGCTGTGACACCTTGGGACTGATGGGGTTGTAATAAGGCTGACAAACTCTGTGGGGATGAATCTATTGTCTCCCTTCTTGAGCCCTAAATGAGTACCTCAGTATAAGCAGTGTTGTGCGAGATGCCATGATACTGAGTAACTCCTGATGGTGCTGCTGGCAGAGCCATGTGACTGAGAGGATAAATCCATAGCTGGGGTAGACATCTAGTACAAGGTAGGCAAACTGATGATCTCCCCACTAAAAGGACCTGTCCCTCTGAGGACCAGCAGTTATGAGGGGTACACCAGCTAAGGTAGGAATCCTATGCTGCTTGGCATCTTTAGTCTCCATTCTGATGTCATTGCCACTCCTACAGTGTGCCCTCATCCTCACTATTAAAAGCTTGTTGGTAGTGTGTGCTTTTGGATTTGCACATGGGAAAAATTGACTCGTGATAGTTATCTTTTGAAAGGTTGATTCACTTCCTTCATCCAGGTTGATCCTGACCTCCTTGTCATCAATACTTGAGCTTAATTTTACCAAATTCCTATCATCCAACCCCATAGCCAGTTGCTCCCCACAGTTTGGTGATCTTCCCCAAGTCTGGCTACAAGAGAAAGGCAGATAGTGTACTATCAAAGGCTTGGCCTACTGTGAAAGTTCCGTTTTCTTATTCAGATCACCTCTTTGCAGAGATAATATACACTGTATTGCTTCCAACTAGTACCGAAGTGGAATTTTCTTCTTCCTCTGTTAGCTGGTCATGAGGAATTTCCCAAAGGCCACAGATAGGATTTAAAGGATAATTGAGAGAAACAGCCATGCACAAGAGAAACTTGGTGCCCTGGAAATGGGCCTGCTGTTCATACAACACGTCTGCTTAGTCATGGCTTCCTTGACTGATAATATTATGTATCCTAAAGTATCCTTGTGTTTGTCCAACTTTACAGCTTGGTAGACTACACAGTACCCACTCTGTGTCTGAGGACCACTTGATTTGATTTGGTCAAGATCTTGGTCTCTAGAAGTATGTCAACAACAGCTCCCCTTAAGGATATCACTGCTTTGTCAAGAAGGCATGGCTCTTTTGCCATGCGCTATGAGACTATGCTGGAGCATGACAGAGGGATTTCACAACATGTAAATCTGTTGTGTACTACTTGAGTACCTTTAGATTTTTCTGGAACCATGGCTCTGGTGGCTTAAGTTTGGAGTGGTTGGGGGACTTCCTGTGGCCTGAGCTCTCTCTTACCTGGCCCTGTGCAGGGTGTTCTCCCTACAGCAGCACACAATGCTCTATGTGTTTCCTGCAAAATCAAAGCAGCACAGCAGACTTTGGACTGGGTTTTAGTTGCAAGGATCTCCAACTGCAAAATTTTACCTTTGACATAAAGAGTTCTCTAAACTACCTAGACTTCTGGGTGCTCAGAAACCTTATTAAGGTGGCATGTCTTTCTGTCCTATCTGTGAGTAGCGGCTCATTGCTTGATTAAGCTTACGGTGCCCATAGTTAACCTCTAAAACATCTTTTTGCACAAACCAAATATGTGAGTTACCCAGAGTTGAAGTACAATTATTATTCCTGTGTTGTCACAGGGATCAATGACATGTGGCAGCTTTGCTAGTGTCAGGGTATGTCCCTCTTCAGGAGTCAAAGGAAATACCCACAGGTCATTCTATACATTCACTGGATTGAACTCCTGGTCATAAAGCTTCTGTTGAAACTGATGGAACCTCGAGTCCCCCCTGGGGCAGCAGTATGTTAGAGTTAGTGTTCTTTAAAAGTCTGCATGGATAAGCAAGCCAACTCCCACTTTCTAGTCCACATGTAAAGAGCTGTGAAGTCACTATTGTCCTAAGATATGAAGAACTGAGCAGGCTGGAAACTCTTTGGATTCACAAGACAGGTTAGGCACTGGGCAATTGGAAAGGCTGACAGGTATACATGGCTAAATCATGGCTAACCAGGTAGAATCTCAAAAGTGAAAATTGCCATGAGGACTGGGGCAGAGGAAGGAAAGCCTGATGGACACATTGCTGGAGGCAGACCATAGACAAGTGTGAAGGTTGTGACCAGGCTACCCGTTTTTCTTCTAAGAGTTCAAGCTGGTTCTCTGTACCCCCTGATGAAATGGGATAAAGCACAGGTACCCCTCAGTTTAGGATTGGCTTTCATCCTGATAAACTCAAGTTAAATCTGATAAAATTAGGTGGAAAATGTGAACTACTGAAGAACATACTTTACCAAATTCATGTTTGGTACCAAAACACATATTCTAGAAGCTCAGAGACTATCACCTGAATGTCCCCCAAACTAAAGGGCATATAACTTTTGAACACTAGAAACTAAAAAATACAGAAAGAGGAGAATCTTAGAAAAATCAAGGAGGGGAGCAGGGAATCTTCATACCTATAGAGAAACAAAAATAAGAATTATATGCAAGATCTTCTCAGAAGCCAGGCTGAGAAGAAGGGAAGAAGTGAAGTATGTAAAATGTTGAGAGGTTAATCCCACCACCTGCATTCTTGGACATTACCCTTCGTGGGACTGGTGAAATGGCTCAGGCTAAGAGCATCTGCTATTGTAGAGACTGGGGTTTGTTCCCAGCATGTATTATTAGGCAGCTCATAACCATCTGTAACTCCAGCTCCAGGGAATCTAACACCCTCTTCTGGACTATGTGGGCATACACACTGAAAGAGACAACAAAGTCAGCACAGGACCCTAAGACCAAATTCTCAACACAAAGGAGATGTATTTGCCCCAGAGGGACAATGGGCAGGGAATAAGAGACAAAAATAGGAGATAGAGGACAGAGGATGAGGGAGAAGTGGGGAGGGATAATTGCCCTGGAAGGACAAAGGACTGCCTCTGGATAGAGTAGACAGATGTGGCCTATAGGCAAATGACAGTTTATAAAGGGGAAAAAGGAAACCTAACTTTAGGATGAGTTGGTTTGTTTTGATTAGGCATGTTAAGTGGGGTAGCCAAAAAAGGAGCTTTTGATTGCTGGACTTTCAATACTTTGATAGCTGGACAGTGGTGGTCAGCCTCAGGAGAGGAAGTAGCCAAATAAGGGAATGGAACCTGGTGGCTAGCTTTAGGAATCTAATCCAATGGTTTAGCAAGGAAGAAGGAATGGGAGAAGGGCAAGGCCTGCCAGAGATTCTTCACACGCACAAACATAAGTAAAGATAAAAAAAAAAATTATCCCAGATAGAGAACCAATGACAGACCAAAGTATGGATACCACCAAATCCAACTTGGTGAACCAATGTGTTTATTGGGATACTTAACCAGAGAAGAAGTGACCCAAAAACAGCTATATCACCAAAGCTCCCCACCCCCCACACTGTGGCTAACAGGTCATAAAATCTGTAAACCTGGAGCTCACTGTACAGCCTGCAGGTAGTTCAACTGGTTGAAGACTATGTTTTTCTAGTAGCATAATCTCTGCTTTTCCCAGGCAGCGAAGCTTGTTTGTCTCTCATAAGAGTGTCTCTCTTACTGTGTATATACGCTGGGGGTGGGGACCTTGTGAACCTTGTCAGTTTCAGGAACTTCCTGAAGCCTTTTAGTTGCTTACTTCCTGAGCTAATGAGCTTTTCAGTAGAATGGAGTGTTTTTTCCATCCGTTAAAACATTTCTGTCTTATACAGCACGTCCCTCCAAGATGGACAGTTTTGCACTGAAGAAAGTGCTACACAGCACCAAACAACAATTGAGCCAAGGACACCTTACCAGAAAACACATACAACCATGAAATAAGCATATGACAAGGCACCATCTACTGTGACATCAATGATGAAAATCAAAACAAGTCAATCTAAAAAACAATATATCACCTGTGATTACAGTTGTATGTCACTCTAAAAAGTTAAAACTGAGGAAACAGTTCAAACGTCACTGCTGATTAGTGGGGAATGGAATGAAAAAGCACAGCACAGGGGACTTAGGGCAGTGTGCCTTCTGTGTGACACTGAACAGTGAATTTCTGGACATCAGAGTAACCAGTAACACTAACTGTGGACCTTGAAGTCATAGGTTTGTCAACTGTTAACTAATGCAGTATTCACACAGAAGTTGAAGATGGAGCATTTACACCTGGTGGCAAGAGGAATAAGGAAAATCTCTACATTATCCACTCATTTTTGCAAAAATGCTTCAAAAACTAGTTTTATGGTTTTGTTTGTGTTAAGTGCATATATATGTGTTTTAATGTTTAGGTATGCCCTCTTCCCCGCTGGGATTATTCACTCTGTAATGGTCACTGTACTGACTAGGATCCAATATGTTTAGCAGAGAACTTTTGCTCAAGAATGTGTGGAGCCCTCATTAGAACTCAGAGTTCCCACTTTCATAGGTCTGCGATGGGGCCTGAATCTGCAGTCTCAGTAAGTTCTTGAGAGGTACATTCCTGCTGGCTAGGGTCCTTCTCCATAACCTCTGTGTAGAGACACACCTGGATGCTCAGGCTTAAATCCCCAGCCTTTGGTGTATGTTTGCCCAAGTTGATAAATGGCTGATGATGTTGCAAATCTAATTTATTGTTCTTTCTTTCCTGATCAGCAGCTTTAGGAGTCCGTTCCAATATTCCAATTTGTTATCAATTAGGGTTGATGAGTTCATGGCACGGGATGTGGGTCAGGTAACAGGTTAGGTACACAGTTAGATTTATATTTCAGATAAACATACTTCCTAAAGTTTTATTTTTATGGGTATGGGTGTTTTGTTTGCATGTATGCTTGTACACTGTCAGCAGTACCCATGGGGTCAGAAGAGGGTATTGGTTCTCTGGAACTGGAATTGCAGAGAGTTGTGAGCCACTGTATGGGTGCTGGGAATTAAACCCAGGTTCTGTGGAAGAGCAACAGTATCTTAACTACTGAGCCATCTCTCCAGCCCCTAACATGAATACATTTTTAGATTTAGTCAGTTACAAAATGTTTCTAATAAAATGTATTTTTATATGTAGCTATGGCTAAGTGTGTTACCTTGTTTTTTTTT